TTAGGACCCTCTCCTGCCTCTGCGGCAGTGCTAAGGATGTCTGACTGATGGCTTAGGCCTGTTCCCCAAGGGCTCCCAGACTGCAAGAGGGCACAGGCCATACTGAGGGGCTGTACCCTTGCCAGTGCACAAATTTCATGCACTGGGCCTCTAGTCTCTTCAATAAATGGTGTTAGGGCATGGATGAAACTGGAGAGCATTGTGCTTAGTGAAATAAGCCAGTCAGAAAGATAAAAATAAGCCAGTCAGAGAAAGATAAATATCACACGATCTCACTCATTTATGGAATAAAATGAACAACATGAACTGGTGAACAAAAACAGATCCAGAGACAGAGAAGCATCGATCAGATAATCAAACCTCAGAGGGAAGGTAGGGGAGGGTGGGGATAAGGGGGAGAGATCAACCAAAGGACTTGTTGCATGCATATAAGCCTAACCAATGGACACAGACATCAGGGATGTGAGGGCATGAGAGGGGGGTGAGGGGGTCAATGGGGAAATAAAGACATATATGTAATACCTTAACCAATAAATAAAAAAACTTAAATAAATGGTGTTTGGAAAATTGGATAATCAAAAATAGAAGAATGTAATTAACTCTTATCTTACACCACTCACAGAATTAACTCAAAATGGATGAAATAATTAAACATAAGACCTGAAACAATAAGACTCCTAGAAGAAAACATAGGAAAAATTATTCTTGACATTAGTCTTTACAATTAATTTTTTTTGGATATAACACCAAAAGCACAAACAACGAAAGTAAAAATAAGTAAGTGGGACTACATCAAACTAAAAAGCATCTGCACAACAAAATATACAATTAACAAAATGAAAAGGCAACCTTTGGAATCAAAGAAAATATTTACAAATCATATATCTAATAAGGAGTTAATATCCAAAATATATAAGGAACTCATACAATTCAATAGCAAAAAACCACAGATACAATCTGATTAAAAACAGTACAGAGGAACTGAGTAGACATTTTCCAAAGAAGATATACAAAAGACTAACAAAGTTTTTTAAAAGATGCTCAATATTGCTAATCATTAGGGAAATGCAAATCAAAACCACAATGAGATATTACCTCACACATGTTGGAATCAGTATTGTAAAAAAGATAAGAGTTAACAAGTATTGGGGAGGATGTGGAGAAAATGGAACCCTAGTGAAATATTGGTAGTAATATAAATCAGTACAGCACTATGGAAAACAGTATGATCACAAACAACAATGTGGTTAGGGCCAGAAGGAGTGGAGGGTGGGGTCTGAGTGGAGAGGGGCAAAGTGGGGGGCAAAGTCAGGGGGAATCTGTAATAATGTCAACAATAAAAAATTAAAAAATTATCAAACTCACAGGAATAAAAAAGAAGGAAAGATTAGGACAGGCATAGAGGAAAGACCATGAGAGGACAGAGAGATGAGACATTCATCTGCAAGCCAAGGAGAGAGGCCTTAGTAGAAATCAACCCTGTTAACACCTTGATCTTAGACTTCTCCAGAACTTGTGAGAAAATAGATTTCTGTTGTGTAAGCCCCCCCCCAAAAAAGGAAAGAAAAATAGAACTAACATATGATCTAACTATTTCACTTTGGGGTATATATCTAAAGGAAATGAAATTAAGATCTCAAAGAGATACTGTACTCACATGTTCATTGTAGCATTATTCACAATATTCAAGATACGGAAACAACCTAAGTGTCAGTTCATAGATGAATGGCATATACACAAGGGACTATTATTAAGCCATGAGAAAAAAGAAATACTTCCATTTGACAACATGGATGGACCTTGAGAGCATTAGGCTAAGTGAAATAAGTCAGACAGAGAAAGACAAATAATGTATGATATCACTTATACATAGAATATTTAAAAAGCCAAACTCACAAAACCAGAGTAGAATGGTGTAGTGAGAGGCTGGGGAGTTGAGGGCAAATGAAGAAATGTTCCTCAAATTGTGCAAACTTCTAGTTATAAGATTAATAAGTTCTGAGGAGCTAGTGTACAGCATGGTGTTTATAGTTAACACTGTATTATATGCTTGAAAATTGCTAAGAGTAGATTTTAATGCTCTCATCACACAAAAAAGGAAACTATGTGAGGTAATGGAGTTGTTAACTACTCCTACTGAGGTAAGTATTTAATAATATATAAGTGTGTCAAATTATCATGTTGTATACTTTAAATTTAATAAAGATATATGTAAATTATCTATACTAATAAAAGGATAATATGCTAATTAGGGACGGCCTTCTGGAAAAAGCCACAGTGGCTGCTAGGGCCAAGGCTCAGGCAGTTGTGGGCGGCTGCGAAGGGCCGAGGTGCAGCTGCAAAGGGCCACAAAGGGCCTAGGCTCAGGCCAGCAGTGGCATGTTGGGGGCCAGATGTAAGCTGGCAAGGTCCTTGCACCTGAAGGGGCTAGCAAGGCTGGCACCCTTACCCACACAGATTTT